CGCCGTTCCCGAGTTGGTTACTCATGAAATATGGGTCAAAGTGAAGGATTCATTAAGAAAATCGAAATAAACCAATTTCCATTATTTTGAAGAATATCTGAGGAAACATCTAAGACATAAATTTTTTTTTTGAAGCTGAAATCAGTCTCTATCAGCTATTTCAGCCTCCGTGCAAATGCATTCGCCCCCCTTGGCACATTGGTCTGGTTACGGGCCTGTTTCTGTTGATAAAGATTTATAATGCACATCTTGCTTTGAGCAATTTTCATGATGACTAAATTTCTTTGGCAAAGATGGAGTTCAGTCCTTTATACTAACTTCACTATATTCTAAAGCTTTATGTAACAAAAATCATTGGTTATAGTTTATGCACCGTTTTGACAGTCGTCAGGCACACGGGCCTATTGATCAAAAACAATATGAATTATATTATACATTATATTACTTATCAATATGTTGCATAAACTATAACTAGTGATTAGCCTATTGTTCCATATTGCTGTAGAATATACAGCTAGGCCCTAGCTATTTTAATATGGAAGATTACAGGTTTAATATTTCGGTGGTTAATAATTGGAAAGTGCTAAAATTCTAGATTTATCTTCTTTTTGTGTTTTTGTATAGACATACCAAATTTTATCAAAATCGGTTAAAAACTGTAAATTCTAGAGCGTTTACGAGGGATAACGTCGGCCGTCTTGTAGCTAAGAGAGGGTAACAAGATGGCGCCTTGTGACGTAGTTGACCAGACTCTCTCTATATACGGCTCTGCGCCTAACCAGAGCCTAACTGCGCAAGTTAAGTGTGTTCTGAAAATATTAACTGATATGTGGGCTTAAGAGAGTAACCTCCCCTTTGAATGCTAAATGCGCCATCTTGTTTTACAGAGACGACATCGAGATAAACATTTACAAATAACAAGAAGCTTTATATTCTTTCCTTCCCGATTTTTGCTTTGCTGTTATTTAAGTAGGCTATGTAGCACCTAGACCTAGCCTAGCATAATGATAAGTAGCCTAACTACAAGTAGCCTAGACCTTGGACTCCAAGCCGGCACCCTCCAAGCCTAGCCTACATTGAGAATTATAAGCTATAGCCATAGGCCTAGACCTACTAGATCGAGTCTATACCTGTCAGTGTCATCATAGAACATACTGTCAGTATACAGTTCTATGGTGTCATTAGCAGAAAACAGTTGGCCATGACGTCAAGAAAAGGAAATTGGGGGATGATGTAGTCATGGATATAAATCATTAAATGACGTCGCAGGAAAAATGTCAGCTCCCATGTACGATGTTACTTTTCGAGACTGGCTGAAATTCTACCACAATCAAAGTTATTCAAAATGATTAAATTAGAATATTCGTTTAAATAGGTGAGTAACCAGTGTTTAGTATGATCAGCTTAGCTTAATTAACTTCCATTTTGGAATCAGTCACTGTAATTGACTGGAGTAGGCTTTTGAGTTTTGTAGTCTGCACTGACCTGTTTTTTTTTTGTTTCTACGGTAGGCCTAGTACTTTTAGACTTTGTCCCTACCAGGCTAATTACTCTAATTTTCCAGGAGTCCGCGTGCAATTCTTTAGAATGGCCTAGGCAATGAAAAATAATCAAATCAAATCAAAGTAATTTTTATACGCCCACATGAAATGGGGGGCGTATATTGTCGTCACCCATGTCCGTGCGTCCGTCCATCCGTCCGTCCGTCCACAATTGCTCGTAAACACTCTACAGGGCACAATTCTTGACGGATTTTAACGAAACTTAGTATGTGTGTTCGCAATCACCCAAGGATAAACCCTATTGAAAATCAGCGAAATCGAAAAATATTTAGCATGAATTATTGCCCTTGTTAATTTTAGCTCGTAAACACTCTAGAAGGCACAATTCTTGACAGATTTTGACGAAACTTGGTATGAGTGTTCGTTATCACCCAAGGATAAACCCTATTGAAAATCAGCGAAATCGAAAAATATTAAGTATGAATTATTGCCCTTGTTCTTGAAAACGCGTTCAATTTTTAGCTCGTAAACACTCTAGAAGGCATAATTCTTGAAGGATTTTAACGAAACTTGGTATGAGTGTTCGTTATCACCCAAGGATAAACCCTATTGAAAATTAGCGAAATCAAAAAATATTTAGTATGAATTATTGCCCTTGTTCTTGAAAACGCATTCAATTTTTAGCCCATAAACACTCTAGAAGGCACAATTCTTGAAGGATTTTAACGAAACTTGGTATGAGTGTTCGTAATCACCCAAAGATAAACCCTATTGAAAATCAGTGAAATCAAAAAATATTTAGTATGAATTATTGCCCTTGTCATTGAAAACGTGTTCAATTTTTAGCTCGTAAACACTCTAGAAGGCACAATTCTTGAAGGATTTTAACAGAACTTGTGTTCGTAATCACCCAAGGATAAACCCTATTGAAAATCAGCGAAATCAAAAAATATTTAGTATGAATTATTGCCCTTGTCCTTGAAAACACGTTCAATTTTTAGCTCGTAATCACTCTACAGGGCACAATTCTTGATGGATTTTAACGAAACTTCGTATGAGTGTTTGTAATCACCCAAGGATAAACCCTATTGAAAATCAGCGAAATCGAAAAATATTTAGTATGAATTATTGCCCTTGTTCTTGCAAACCGTTCAATTTTTAGCTCGTAAACACTCTAGAAGGCACAATTCTTGACAGATTTTGACGAAACTTGGTATGAGTGTTCGTATTCACCCAAGGATAAACCCTATAGAAAAATCAGGGAAATCGAAAAATATGTAGTATGAATTATTGCCCTTGTTCTTGAAAACGCTTTCAATTTTTAGCTCGTAAACAGTCTAGGAGGCACAATTCTTGACAGACTCTACAAGTCACAATATTTTTGTTCATAATCACAATTTACAATAAATGTCATTATTTTCCTGAGAAACTATTTTGATTAACAAATAAGAAAATTTAGTTTAATCATTTAACATGTCCCTAACCAGCCACCATACATGTACAGCATCATAAGATACTATAAATAGACCAAGTGGAAAATCCAAGACAGATATCCAATCATAGCTTAGTCATGTGACATCCCAAGATGCAGCAGTTTATCTGATTTCATTTTATATTATTTCATTCAAGAGAAAAGGTTTGCTTAATCATTTCATTTTCACCAATTGTGCTGATACAAAAATGAAATTAAACATGGGTCATAGGGGAAAGGTTTTGTTTCTTGGAAGATTGAATTGAGTTGCTGGATAAGTAGGCTACTATAGGAAAAATATTTAGTATGAATTATTGCCCTTGTTCTTGCAAACCGTTCAATTTTTAGCTCTTAAACACTCTAGAAGGCACAATTCTTGACAGATTTTGACGAAACTTGGTATGAGTGTTCGTATTCACACAAGGATAAACCCTATAGAAAAATCAGGGAAATCAAAAAATATGTAGTATGAATTATTGTCTATATTTTTGAATATAATCTGCAAATACACAATTCATGACAGACTTATTGAAATCACCCAAGGATAAATCTGATCAAAAATCTTGTAAAACACGTAATTTTTATTCTACAAAGCAGAAGTCTAAACCAAATTGACAACTTGATGAAATTGATCACAATCAAAACTAAACCTTTTGAAATATAAAATACAAGTTATTGCTGTTATTCTTACAAATGTGTTTGATTTTTAACTTGTGATGGCACAGTTTGTGATGGATTTGGGTATAAGTTGAATATTTCCTGGTGTCTATGTTTGCTATTTTCTAACAAATATTCAATTTCAAACAAAGCTCTCAGATGGGCGTATATTACCTTGCCTGGCAAGCTATCTTTTAAACTCGGATGATTTAAGGGATTGTAAAAAGGTTTTCTAAATTCTTATGTGTAGGCCTATCGGAGATACTGATAGATTCGATTTACTCCCTTCCAAGTTTTAATCGGATATCTGTGGTTTCTGCCACTAAAACTAAGCGTTTGATGACGTCACTAATCCTGCAGGGCCTTATGGTAAGGTGTATTTTACGATTAGTGACGTCATAAACACTTAGTTTTAGTGGAAATGAAGGAACCACAGACGTCTGATTGAAACTTGATAGGGCAAGGCGTATATCGATGGCTATTAGTGTCCCTGATAAGCTTACATATACAAAAGTATTCAAATGTCAAGCTTATGTTTGTACTATTATTTTTAGCAACTACCCCTTTTTCGTTATTATCTTATAAATAATATGCAAATTACTTCTTTCAGATTTTTCTTTGTACCGATATCAGGAAACTTAATAAACTGGAATAGAAAGATAGTTAAAATAAACAGATATGAAGTAGCGAATTAATTTATATTGTAAAGGGTGAGTTATTTATAAACAGTTTATCCACCCTAACAAGTGTTTTTATACGCCGACATGAAATGAGGGCGCATATATATTGCTGTCACCCATTTCCGTCCGTCCGTACTCCGTCAACAATTGCTCGTAAACATTGATTTCGACGAAACTTGGTATAATTGATTTTAATCACCCAAGGAAACAAGGATGAACCTTATCGAAAATCAGAAAAATCACTTTTTCAATGCGTCATATCCGAAAAGACACAACTGTTAAAATGTATTATAACAGACTCCCCAAACTGTTAAAAATGTATTATAACAGACTTCCCAAACTGTTAAAAAAATATATCATAACAGATTCCTCCAAACTGAATTATAAATTACCTAAACCACAGACAAGAATCACTATAATAATACAGTATAAAATAACCGCATTAAAAAAAAATAAAAATGTCTTTAATTTTAAAACACGAACAAAAAAAATTCGAAGGAGACGGTTTCTTCTCTGCGCTAACATCTCTCATCCCCAAAGTGGCCAATTTTGTCTCAAACAACAAATTTCCTCAGGAGTAGATGCAGTGAAAAGATCTAATGATTCATTTCTATCGCTTGAATAGTTTTCTCCTTGTATTAAATCTTTCGTATTAAAAATATATAGTGTTTATTTCATTATTGAACAAATATGTCTTTAATAAATGTCCATCCTTCTAAAACGTATTTCGGTGCGGGAGACATTCAAAAGTCATTGGGTTCTCTTACTGGATTCCCATGGGCAAAATATCCCGGAGAAAAACATCTCCCAGGGCACAATTATACAGGTCCAGGCACGAGATTAGATCTACGATTGGATGAAAATGATAATCCCAAATCAGGGGAAGAACCCGTTAATACAGTTGACGCAGCAGCGCTCAAACACGACATACTGTACAGAAACAAAGACATAACATTCAGACACCAAGCAGACAAACAAATGATAGACGAACTCGAAAATATTCCCAATCCCACTTTCAGAGAGAAATTACAAAGGGCTCTTATCATAAAACTCTTGAAGGCAAAATTGAAATTGGGTATGGGCATAGCAGACGAGATTCACAAAGAATTTCGAAAAAACAAACATTACCTCAAAGTCAAAGTTTTTGATAAAGATGAAATTTGGTCAGCCGATTTAATCAACATGCCAGTCGAGAGAGGGTACAAGTATTGTTTAACGGTGATCGACATATACACGAGATACGCTTGGGTCTTTCCCTTGAAAAACAAATCGGGTCTGACTGTCAAACAAGCATTCGAAACCATAATGAAACAATCTGACAGAAGACTCCTAAAGTTGTGGGTTGATAAAGGAAGCGAATTCTACAACAGAAATGTGAAATCTCTGGGGTTTGAAATTTACAGCACGCATAACGAAGGTAAGGCCGTAGTGATAGAAAGATTCAACAGGACTCTTAAAAGCAAATTATTCAAGAAATTCATGGAATTGAAATCACAAAAATGGCTTACAATATTACCAGTTGTTGTCGACGAATACAATCACAAAATACATTCGTCTATAGGTGTGACGCCAACGCAAGCCTCTAATAACCCGATTATCATAAAGTCCGTCAACACTCGAAACAACTTTGAAAACGAGTTTAGCAATTTGAATATTAAACCCAAATTCAAAGTTGGAGATCGAGTTCGTATTTTTAAATATAAATCATTGTTTCAGAAAGGTTACGTCGGGTATTGGACTAACGATATATTCATCGTTGATAAGTAAAAAGCAGATCACCTCCCACGTATGAATTGATCGATCAAGACAAAGAACAAATCATAGGAAGGTTTTATCAAAATGAACTTCAAAAAACTGACTTTTAAAAATGAATCTCGAAAATGAAGATTTAGATGAAAGGTTAAGAAATTTAGATTTACGCTCTCTTAAATTAAGTTTTTTTAAATTTAAATGTAAATTTATCTTCAAAATATTATTGAATGTGTTTTATCAGAATGTTATACAATTTTTTTCAAACACAAACTAGGTATATATTTCGTCAATTGGGTCTTCAGCAATACTTACCGCCTACTTCGAAAAACACCTAAAAAAAATCAACTTAAAAAATGAATGCATTTCTCGATAAATACGGAAAAGACACGACCACAAACTTTCAACTTGTGAAATGGGCCAAGGAATTGAACGTCTCGCCGTTTTATTATTGCATGCGAGATGAAATTGATGAACTGAAATATAAGAAAGGTAAATTTTACTCCATCACAAACATTCACACGTCGGATCAAAAAGGAGTTCATTACTCTGCTCTACACAAAGATTCTTCGAATAACTTTTATTTGATTGATTCTTTCGGTCTAGAACCGACAGAAGAGATTACGAAATTGACTAGCAAACCAATCAAATGTTCTATGTTTCAAATTCAAATGCCAGGACAAAAGCTGTGTGGACAGCTGTCGCTTTGGGTTTTATATCGGTTGAGTTTGGGAGAAAAGTTTGAAGAAATTATAATAAATTTAACTCAATAAAAATGGCAAACAAGTTTTGATTATGGTCTTTACCTCTAGAATCTAAAAATCCCATGACGGCGTTTATAAACAAAGCGAAACCTTTTTTCGTGGATCAAATCGGAGACACCTTACAAGGGGATATCGATATGAACAATTTCAAAATAACTAATTTAAAGTTTCCAGGAAACGAGAATGATGCCGTGAACAAGAAATATTTACTGGATCAAATTCAAATAGATAAGGACCATGTTGAAAATAGAATAACTGACGTGAAAAGATACCTCAGACGAACTATTAAAAATCTTGTGGACGAACCCAAATTACAACAAGAGTTAACGAGTTTGAAACGTCTTATTCAAGAGGATAAAACAAGTCAGTTGATATCTAAATTAGACGATAAGATTACGAAGGTAAAAATAGACGTCCAACGTTTAATAGATAACCCAAATGTAAACGAGGATAGATTGAAATGAAAACTAACCGCTTTGGAAAGAAAACTTGGCGAATTGCTAGCAGAACTAGACAAGACCGCGGAAAAAACCGAGTTACAAAATTCAGTATCCAAATTGAACGAAAAGATCGCGAAGCAAAAATCAGATGTTCAAGATATAATTAACGCACTTCCCATTGACAAAGATACGTTGAAACGACAATTGACTGCTTTGGATACTAAAATCGAATTAGACGAATTAGAAAAAGAAGTGGGTGTGATTAAAAACTTTCTTCAAAATAAATTTCGAGATGATATGAAAAATTATATTAAAGAACAGGTCAATCTTTTGGTATCTAGAATTCATGACGATTTTTTGAGACAAGAGAGAAAGTTGAGCAAATTAGAATCTATTGTCACAGACAAATCGTATTATTTCAATCTTCCATTCGAAAGTGACACTGTCTTCGATGGAAAAGACCAAATTTATAAATCAAACAAATACGGATTCAAAGCAGAAATAAAAGTAGGTTCTCTCGCATACGGAGAAGGTGGTGGTTATATTTGTAGAGCCAAGATAAACATCGAAAAAGAAAAAATAAAATATTCCTATCATCTTAAAGAGGACCATACGAAAAAAGAAATGTCGTTAGTACGCGTAGATGTTGTTACTTTTAATACCCGAAAATATAATAATGCTAGGCCAAACAAGTACGTTCTATACTATATTCCGTGGTTCCATTTATCGGAAATTCACTTAATTTAACGACTTAAAAAATGGAACTCGAAAGCAGACAACAATACATGAAAGACAAACAAGAAGAGTTGAAAATAAAGTTGAGACAGTACAATACATGCAGGAAAACATGGAGTAGAATCGATTCTTTTTTCAGTTCTAGCGTAGGAGTAACGGTGGCAACGGCCGTGACTGGTGGATTAATTCTTCCGGTCATCGTCCCAACCGTATTGGCTGCATTAACAGCCGTTCAAACGACCTCTTGCGGCCTCATCACTTTAGGTTTCACAAGCAAAAAGAAAGCTCATTATAAAAAGAAAACGGATATCTTGAATATGTATCTTAATCAATTGTACATCTTTTTCGAAAGATCGAGAGAAGACAAGAACATAACAGTTGAAGAATTAAAAGAATTCAAGAAAATTTTGGACAAATTCCAAACAGAAATATCAGCGGTCAAAATAAAGAAATAATCAAAAATATATACTTAAAAAAATATGAATAAAATCGAACACGATGAAACATTGATAGAAAACGCCCTATTTTCCGATGTTATCAAGGCTATCTCTGATAAATTTAAAACATTCAAAGGACAAATTAAAATAGATGGAGAGATAGTCGAGGAAGGGAATCACAGACAATACATGTCACTCCTCGGTTTCAATGCCAAAACTTTTCACAATATCTTTTCAAATATGGACAAAAAATCTGATGCTTCCGATTGGTATTTTACAGGAAAAATAATTTTAATGAAAGACAATTTCCAAGATCAAAAGATCGAGAGTTGGTAGAGGAGGAACTGATCTACTTAAAAAGATAAATGAATACGAAGGCGAAAATTGTTACATACCTACAGATGGTCACTGTTTTATCAAATGCGTCAATCGTGTTTTGAACAAAGATTTAACGTGTAAATTTCAAGAATACATCAACGGGTTTTCAAAAGCAAATATAAAAGGAGTGATGACTTGTGCTAGAATGAAGGAATTCAACAAGAAATTTAACACTTCGTTTCAAATTTATAATCCCAAAAACAGACATTTTCATCCCAGAGAAGTTCACGATGAATTAGATTGGGTTTTTTACTTACACAAGTCGCATTTCTGTCTGATTAGAAGAAGCTAAAAAAGTTTGGGAATTCAAGAAATAGAAGACAATTACGAACAGGTGTGGAAAACGTGTAGAGACGATAACGCAGTAACACAGGTTTCACCTCTCAAACTAAACGTGCTTTCGTGTATGAGTGATGATGCGTTATTCGCTTGGGATTGCGAAACGTATTCAGAAAAAAACAGTCGAAGAGCAATTCCTTATGCCTGCACTTTAATTAATTTAGAAAAACTAAGAAAAAAGTTAGAAACGATAAAAAATATCTTTCCAAATATAAATCCTACTGATAATGTTCCAGAAGAATTTTATGATAAACTAATGAATGTAGTAGAACTATTTGTAGGTACAGATTGTATAGATCAAATGTTGAAATATTTAGGTCAATTTGATAGAAAGAGATTAATATTAATTTCTCATAACGGTAGTGGATTCGACAACTGGATCGTGCTTAAAAATGCAAAAAAACTAACGCATTGCCCTTTAAAAACACCCAGAGGAATTCTATCTTTTCCTTTATCTAATCCATACACAGATGAAGATTTACAGAAAAAATGGAAAAGACAGAAAGAAATAAAGGGTAATTATTTACAACATATTAATTTCACGTGTTCCTATCAATACGAATCCTCTAGTTTGGCTGCATGGGGAAATTCTTCCAATCTTCCCACGAATTTGAGAAAGATTGCCGACGTAGATATCGCTAAATACACGCAAGACAACTGGGAGGAATTGAGACACGAATGGGAACCTTACGCCAAGAGAGACACTCTCTGTTTGGGAGCTTGTTTGATAAAATACAACCAAGTCACGAAAGAAGTTGTAAACCAGAATATGTCCAATAATCTAACGGCTCCATCTTTATCTTTAAAGGGTTGGTATTATTTATATCATTACGATAAAGAAATGGTTGAAGAAGAATGGTATGAAACTACTAGAATGGTTGCGAAACATACCGAAAAAGAAAATATAGAAAAAGTTTATTCGCACACTAATCCTTTTATAAGAAATTTTATCAGACGATCTATTAAAGGGGGAAGAGTTTCGGCAAATAGAAAATCATTTGAAACGAACAAAATGGATGAAATTTGTAACGTATCAAAGGAATATATTTCACAAACAGAAAGTAATAACATAATTGATTTATTCAAAGAATACAGTGCAAGCACAAAAGACAAAACGGAGGTTCATTCGAGACTTAAAAAAAATAGAATGTACTAAACTAATGGCATTTGATTCTAACAGTTTATACGCTTCCGCCATGTCGGATTTAGACAGTGAATATCCGAGAGCGGAAAGTGGAAGACCGTTTCTACCAGAAGAAGAAAAAGAATTTGTAAAACTCTTCAATAAACAAAAATTCAGACCTAGAACAGCTATTTTAACAGTGTGGTTTGACTATCCCAAAACCATGTTCTTCCAACCGATACCAGCTAAAGATAAAATCACTTTCACGAATAAAGAAGGTAAAAAGGAAACTGGTAACAAAATCAGGTTCAGAAATGGTTTCTGTCACGACGTTTTAACATCGGTCGATATTCAAGAAATAGTGAAAGCCGGTGGACGAATTATTAGAATATTAGATGGTATAGTTTACGAAGAAAATTTTGAAACCCCACCCTATAGAGATCATATTTTAATTTTGAGAGATTTAAGAAATAAATATAAACGAGAAGGTAATATTGTGGGTAGTAACTGCATGAAATTATTAGGTAATTCCTTGTATGGTAAATCAATTCAGAAAGATATATTCACAACTAGACATTTATGGAATGAAGCAACTTTACAGGCCAACTTTGATTCACGTGTTAAAACCTATGAGAAAATTAATGATACTCAATATATTGTTGAAACAAGAATTGAAGAAAAAGAGATTACTACCGAAGATAGTAAATCTACACGACTAACACCTAGTCATTTGGGATCATTCGTATTATCTCACAGTAAAAAAATAATGAACAATTTCATTCACGTCATAAATGGATTTTATAAACCCGAAATATACTATACCGACACCGATAGTTTGTACATTTCATCCAAAAATTGGAAAAAACTAAACAGAACTGGTTTGGTCTCCGAAAAAGACTATTGCAAAGGTAAAAACGATTACGGTGACGGTGGAATTATATTTGGTTTATATTTAGCACCAAAAGTCAAATACAACATCGTTTTGACTTCTGATGGTGTTTTGAAAGAAAAGAAAACGTTTAAAGGTTATTCTAATGATAAGATAAGTGTAGAAGATTACGTTCATTTAGCAAGCGGACATGATGTGTCGAACGAATTTAATAAACCATGGGAAAAAAGTTTCACCAATGGAGTAGTTATTCCAAATGATAAACAAACTAAAGTTTTTAGAAGTTATTTGAATAATGTTAAAAGAAAACCACCAAACAGTGAAGGAATTATGTATCCTTACAACGACAAAGATGAGTATAGTTTTGATGAAAACTATGAATTTGATGATTTCGATTATCTTACTATTCAAGAAGAGAATGAAGATTGTTTTAAATGAAGTTGAATGACAATTTCTTCGTTGCCAAAGTCTATGAACCTGTTTTTACCTTCTTTGATTTCCAGATTTATATCTTTGATCATGAAAGAATTGACTGGTAAATAGGTCGTTTGAAACGGTTTCTCTATAATTCTGTATCCGATCGGCACCGTAAAAGTCGGTATGCTGTATATGATTTGGCGTTTGTGCTTGTCGAAAAATCCACCGTTGATCAAATTACAGTGAATGTTGATCACGTCGATGTCGTTCTCGATGTTGGCCTTGTGCGGCGCCAATGTCGATTGCGCGTATATTCGTTTATCGAACCCTAGTAACGCATTCAACGAATTTTCTACGTTGAAATCGACTTGACTGTTATTTCTGATATTGTTTTTGCCGTTCACGCTTCCTGCTTATTCGGATAAGTAATCGTTGATGGCTACGTATTCGTAGCTTCCCGCTAGTAAGCTTATGATTTTGAACGTAACTCCGTTATCCGTCGATATTTTTAGTTGATTGTTTTTTTCGTTGATGTTTCTAATGGAATTGTAAACGGAGAAATACTTTAATCCCAGTTCGTACTGTTTATTGCGATCGAGTTCATACTCGTAGTCTAGAGATAATTTGATGTCTGATTTATTCGAGGTGATAACGAACAATTGTTCTTTATTGGACATTTTTAATGACGTTTATATAGTCTTTTTTAGTGATGATTTTTTCTCCAAAAGCCGTTTTAATATGCTATTGACTTCGTTGTATTGTCTGTCCGATTGATGACCTTCCTTCATGGCCGCTAAAATAATATTATTTCTAATCTATTAAGCAATTCTTTATTGTTGTCGGATAAAAACGTTATACCTTGTCCAGATGCCACCATATCATTGAATTCGTCTATTTCTTGTATGATTGGATAATCTTCTGCATAATCATCTACATCCTCTTCCTCAATAACTTTTGTTATATATAAATCAACTTCTTTCAATCTTCTTGTTTCGGGTCCTCACTGTCTGATCGCATGTAGAAATTTTGAGTATGCTACTAAATCCTTGTAATCGGCAATTTCAACATCCTTGCCATTCATTAAATCTATTAACCCTCTCGTTTAAAGTCTTTTGTGTCGATTTTGAATTGTGGTGAATTTCCACTAAATCTTATTCTAAAACCATTAAACAATAACCCCACTTCATCAATGATTGGTGAAATGCTCTTTGGTAAATCTGGGTCAGGGTTTGAAAAAAGACGTTTTATATCATCTAATGTCCTAATTATAATACCATTATATTCAATCGGTTTGGGTTCTATATGAGGGGTGGGTTCTATAACGAGTCTCTTTTTAATATCTTCTTGACTTTTTAATATGGGTTGAAATAGAGTCTGTAGATTTTCCGTTAATCAGAGTTGTTGTAATCTGTTATTTTCAACTTGGGTCTTTATTTTATTCTTAGCTTTGATATATTCTCTGTTTCTTTTTAAAATATTATTTCAATCCGTCATTTTAAAAAAAAAAAAATTAACATATATCGATCATAACTCTTTCTCCCGCAGGTTTTCTAGTATTTACAAATACATATCCATGATCATCTGGGTTTCTCCATTGAGCTTTACAAACCTTTTTAAATGTATCTCTATCCATTCCGTGATTTCTAGACTGAATGATTTGAGATAAATCTTTATCATTTAATTCAAATAATAAAAAACAATTTGCATTTTTTCTAATGAACATAGAATCCATCCCGTAAAAAGATTTGGATTGGTATATGCAGTGACAGTTGTGATGTCTTCCTTTGGTGAAGAATTGTTGTTGAATAGTTTGATTTCTTTGCGCTACGCAGTCGTCAAACAATATTAAGTTTTTTCGATTGTTATCAATATTAGACAAGTCTAGATCATTAACATTTTTCGTAAGAAAAACTTTTATATCCGTTGGATTGAAAGATGGATTCTTTGATTTAATGAAGTTTTCTATGATATCTTTTATTTCCACTTCTTCTTCGTTTTCTTTGTAATATTGAAATATGTCTTGAACGTCTTTCTTTGGTAAATATTCTAAAGCTTTGAGGAATTGATAATACGATTGCTCTGGTGTTGTTGTGTAGATATACAGAGAATCGAAATCTAAAAGGTTTGGTGTTGTCAACGTGTTAAAAGTGAGATGAGTTTTCCCAGAACCTGAACTACCGCAAATACACATGAGCATTGGGTTACTAGGAAATTTGTCCGAATGTTTGAATTTCTTGCCCATTTTTATTTATTACATTTTCGTACCAAAAATCACCCCGTTGCCTTTTTACTTTGAAAGGAAGATTCCCTCGCCCGAACGTATGTTTTTAAAAAGTTATTTTCATTATGCTCCCTAACTACAACAACCACTGGCAAGAAGCCAGACATAGAAACACTAATCGTCAACCAAACCAGTATCACGTACCCTGTCTTCCATCAACCTCTACCACCTACCAATCGCCGACCACCAACCAACCCATCCAGCTATATCCCACCCCATCGCCGACCTACCTACAACACCTACCAATCAAGAGGTAACCATCGACCTGACCAACAACAGAAACGACTACCAGCCCACCGACGCCAACCAGTCCCCACTTATAAGGAGGAAGAACCCTTTGTGAAGGTGTTCTTCCAAGTTTTGCAGTGCCTCCATCATTTGGCAATCCTTACCCTTCAACAGCAAGGCCAACCAGCGTTTACCTTCAAACGCAAAGTCTCTGAGTTGGATAGTTTTATCCGTCCAGCAATGAAAACATCAGCTGTTGACGCGAATATTAGATCTCTCAATCGTACATGGCTCTCTAAGGTTACGCAGGTCCTGATCGACCATTACCAAACCACACTTCAAGAGAAGCTGACCACCATTCGTACCAAGTCTTTATCATCACCTGCCGTCGACCGCATTGTTTCTCAAGCCCTGTCCTGGGCCCGTCGCTCCTATGGGAAACGTCTCACTCAAGCTGTAATCACCAAGTTCTACCAAACAATCAACGAAACAAAAACCAGAGTAACCATATCTCTACCAACTGAAATGGATACTACACCTGCACCATCTAGAGCCACGACGCTGCCGAACCAAACCCCTAAACGAGCCCGAAGTTCACCTACTCCTAGTCCAGCAGACATAGGTAAACGCTCTCTTAGAGAGGGCACTCTCCTTCTCTTTTCACTTTCAGAATCGTCTTCCCCTTCCACACCATCTGAATCTTCCCCACGTGATCCAGGATCCGCCAACCTTTCTTCCTTCTGTGCGTTTTTGGACCAGCAAACCACCCCTCAGTCTCCATCCAAGTCGAGATGTACATCCAGACCTTCCCCCCCTCGAACGAGATCCCAGTCCGTTCCCAATGCTACAATTCTAACAACTACCAAACCAGTACCAATCACACCGTCGACGACCATTATATCCGCTACCAAACCGTATTTTCACCAAACCAAGGACAAATCGTTATGGAAGCTACCCGCTTTAAAGAAATCTACCTTAATTATTGGATCATCTAACCTGAATCGAATTAACAAAACCAGTTCAGACACTGAAATACATTCTTACCCCGGTGCCCAAATCCATCACATACAGTCAATCCTGGAATCATACGACCATGATCCCAAACCTACTACCATTATTCTTCATGTAGGCCTCAACAACCGTGATCAGCTACCAAAGACCTCCTTTAACCAGCCCAGAAATTAATCGCCACAGCCAACAAAACCTTCCCAAACTCCAAGATCCTCTTCACATGTATACCCATTTCAAATAAAATGTCGAAGAAAGCAGAACAGAACCTCAGCACTCTCAACAACATGATGATGGAGTCCAGTATCAACAGCGCAACAATCTTACCACCCTACGAAGAAGAATTCGAACCAGTTGATAATCTTCATTGGTCTCCAGAAACAGCAAACAGCATTTATTTGTTTTGGATACACCAGCTTCAAGCATCGAGTAAGTCTTTAAACTAATTACTGGGGATAAAAATACTGAGAGGCCACCGCTAGGCCAAACTGTAGTTAACTTGAGCCGCAAAATTCTCACACCCCTTCAGCATTCAATCTTAGACCGTGGACTTAAATTTATTCCCACACAAAAGATAGCTAACTTGAATTATCTCCGACCATCCATTGAACGATTTCAACGAAATCTTAGCTGCACATTCGAAACCACCCCCCACGTGGTGCTAGAACAATGTTTATTCCTAAATCCACGTGGACACCCCCTCAGGCCGCCATCCATCCTGAAATATTGAAAGCATTTGCGAGTATGAATAACCAAATAGTGAACCTTTCCATAACACACGAAAAGCCTAATCTGACACGAGTGGAACGTGAAGCGTTAAACTTACTTAAGAAAGACGATAGCATTGTTATTAAAAAGAGTGACAAGGGTTCATATTGTGTCATTCTGAATAGGGAGGATTACGTTTCAGAAGCAGAGAATCAACTGAATAATCCTAAACACTATGCCATTTTACCGAAACCAATTTTCAAAGAAACTCCTTACATGATTAACAATATTCTTGCCGATTTAGTCAAAACTAGTTATCTCAAACAGAAACAATATGACTATCTGTCTGCCAAACCTGATTGTCGCGAGAGACATTTGTACACTTTGCCTAAAATCCATAAGAATCCAACCAAGGAGTGATTTATCTCGAATAAAATCCCTAAAGGCCGCCCGATTATATCTGACTGTGGTAGTGAGTCATATGCAGTGTCAGAATACATTGATCATTTCTTACTACCTCTAGCATGTCAACATCGCGCCTACCTTAAAGACACAACCGATTTTGTCAATAAAATAAAAAATCTTCGAGTTCCCTCTAATGCTATTTTAATTTCTATCGACGTTTCTTCTATGTATACCAATATCGATAACACTACTGGTTTAACGGCAGTTCGTAAAGCTTTTAATAGAAACCCAGATCCAAACAGACCCGACGATGCAATTCTACAGCTTTTAGAGATTTGTCTTAGTCGAAACGATTTCACATTTAATGGTAAAACATATTTACAAACTTCAGGGACAGCAATGGGCAAACGATTCGCCCCTTCGTACGCAAACCTTTTCATGGCAGAGTGGGAACGTTGCCCCTCTGTCCATTTGACCCACTTTTTTACGGACGCTTTTTGGATGACATTTTTATGGTTTGGACTTATTCTATCGAACAGTTTTGGGAATTCTTTGAAATTCTCAACAACCACCATCCTTCTATCAAACTAACCGCAAACGTGAGTGACAAAAGCATAGACTTTCTCGATACCAGAGTCTTTAAGGGAGATTCCATAGCAGAAACAAATAAACTGGATATTAAAGTGTATTTCAAAGAAACTGATACTCATCAACTCTTGCACAAGAGCTCCTTTCACCCAAAACATACCTTTTCTGGTATAATTAAGTCACAAGTTTTACGATTTCATCGAATTTGTACAAGATCTTCTGATTTCAACCAAGCCTGTACGATTGTTTTCTCAAAACTGAAAGAGCGTGGGTACTCTAAACGATTTTTACGAAACATAAAAAATTCCACCTTAGCACAGATAGCAGCTAAAAACAGACTTTGTGCCGAAGTACCTCCAGGTTTAAGAAGTGCTCCATGTTTGTCCAGTAGATGCAAAACATGTCCCTTTATATCAGAAACTCATTATTTTGTAAGCAACTCTACGAATAAAAGGTACCCGATCCAGGAACATCTAACATGTGAACATTCGAATGTAATATATTTAATTTCATGCAAGAAATGCCCCAAACAATATGTAGGAGAAACTAAGAATAAATTACGAACTCGCTTTAATGCTCATAGGTCAGACATCAAATTAAAGAAAGACAAGCCTGTTTCTAATCATTTCAACCTCGACGACCACTCAATAGACGATCTCGCCCTAATCCCAATTGAGCGTATAGAAATTGACTTGCCCGAAGATGAAACTACCAAATTCCGTCAATCTAGGGAAGCCCATTGGATTGAGACATTGAATACAGCAAGACCTATAGGACTAAATATTCATCATAATGTAGGCATAGCACCCTTTGTTGTCCCGTTTAATACAACCAGCAATCGAGCGAGCAAGATAGTTCATGCCCACTATAAGAGCCTTCAAGAGAAATTCCCCCATGTCTATAAGCAGAAAATGATAGTTGCATATTCCAAAAATAAGAACTTAAATGATAATATTGTTCATAGTAAACTAAAAACAATCAGCACATAACAGATACTATACTTCTCGCCCATTGGGCGAGTTATTTTTTCTAATTTCAGATCAGAATAAGAACAGAAGAAAACTCAATATATCAAGACCCTTAATCCTAATTTCTAAATAAAGTGTCTGCTCCACCCTAGGCCTGTACATTTGGGAGAATCAAACCCTCCCTTCCCCGAACTTGAAAATTCAACATACTAACTTGAAAATTCAAGTTACTAAATTCAACATACTAACCTGAAAATTCAACATACTAACTTGAAAATTCAACATACTAGCTTGAAAATTCAAGATACTAACTTGAAAATTCAACATATTAACTTAAAAATTCAACAAACTAACTTAAACATACTAACTTGAAAATTCAACATACTAGCTTTAAAATTCATCGTACTAACTTGAAAATTCAACATACTAACTTGAAAATTCAAAAAAAAAAAAAAAAAAAAAAAAAATGAATGGCCCTAATACGCTTCCGTACGTACTATTGACAATCAGAAAAATCGAAAAATATTTAGTATGAGTTATTCAGTACGCGTTCAAGTTTTAGCCTGTCAACAATCTAGAAGGCCCAATTTATTACAAATCAAAGCTGCCAGTGGGCGTATTATACTTTGCCTGGCAAGCTATCTTTTCAATAGTTTTATCATTTTCAGAAGCTGTAGTAGCTAAAGCCAAATGTAACAACAACATTGTCTAAAGTTACCTAATAGAACGATGAGATTACTATTTTTCGTACAAAATTAGTGACAATACTGTTTGATATTGCAACAAACTTGAAAATAATCAGTAATTCGATGTAGAAAATTGAAGGGAGAGCGAAGACAGTAGATCGTAATACACAAATTATATCAAAATATCCCTTTACCATAATATTTATCGTTTCAGGTTAAAGGGTCGAGTCATTAGGAATGGAAGCTAGTTCTATAACATTCCAGGTTTGTAGGCTCAAATGTTTTATATTGTTTACTCTTTATCCATCAGTCCGGCCACAATATTAGATTCTGCTCACTCCATGAGCTGCAATATTTTTCAGACATCTTTTACATTTTTTGGTGTGTATATTTATTTCAAGCTTAATTGAATAAAATAAAATGCAGATTGCAATAGTGTAAATTTTGCCTGGACAGTTACCTATCATTTCGATATGCAAAACATGTATCACATGAAGTCTTATCTATTTCCTCGGAATATGATTAATTTCTTTCGGAGGTCCTACTTTTAAACTATTGAAGATGGGCAATGCCACACAGTTTGAAATTGGGCAAATTTTTCTTGAACTGTGACCCATCATTCTTCAAGTTTCGATGTACACAGCAAGTAACAAACGAAGTCTTATCTTGTTCCTCGTCGGAATATGATCACTTTCTTTTGGACCACAGTGGACTCATCTATTGTGACCAAAATGTATACTGTATTGAAAACAGGTTGATTCATGGTGACATTAAAGACAACTTTTTATTTGAAGTTTTTAATGCAAGCTTACCATTATTCTTATCATTGTAGGAAGACGTGAAAAAGTTATTTGGAACATTGTTGCCAGAGAACGGGAATAAATCGAAGGAAAAAAAAGACGACCAAGCTCCATTGACTAATGAAAAATATGAAGAGAAAATCGTACGAAGCCCTCAAACTATCCAATCCACTCGGCAAACCAGACCACCGATTTACGAATATCCTTCCGTTTCATGGAAACAAGGACCGGAAGATAAAAAGTGGAAATTTGAACGTTCGACCAGGAAAACCGTGTTTCCAAACCACATCCTAAATGTTTATCAACAGTATCCAAGTGCAATTATTTCCGGAATTGAGGGAGTCCCTGAGAAGATCAAAATCACAATGCAAAGAGCATTACACAGAAATGTACCACATCTTGGACAACCGTTTCACAATCAGCAGCTTCAAGAGGACCCAGAAACTCGCACTATTGGAAAGAAGTCTAAAGGACAAAAAAACCCAACTGCTATGGTAAATATTTCCAATTTGGAATTTTAGTTTGTAACATTGCGGTTAAGCACAGGCATTGTAACCTCTACTGATAGAGCAATGTTTGTGAAGTTAGTTTAAAAAATGATATAGAATATTTGAAATGCAAATCCATAATCTTCCGAATCTGAAATAATTAGTATAGAAACGCACTTTACACAATCCAAATTTCTCAATGTCAGTTTACAAATCAATTTCAATTGGGCTTATCTGTTCTGCTTTTCAACATGTAAATTCCAAAATATTGGGCAAGGGAAATACTAGCTGTAACGTCTGTGAGAATAATTGTAACAGATTATTAAGGAACGTTTTGACGGACTAATTATAAACATAAGAAATTAGGAAAAATGTAAATTATAATAGCCATTGTCAAACGCATTTTGATTCTTTGCCACTGTCATGAAATTGCGTGAACTTCATCGTATTAAATAAAGAGAAATATAGAAATATTAAAACAGAACCTAAAAAAACATGTTGTTACTCAGAGTTTCACGCTATGCGATCTTCCATTAGCGCAGTGGCTACAGATAACTTGATAAAACGATTCAGCATCACTCAAAGCGTTTCTACGAGGGTGGTGGTTGCCCAGAAAAGATGATCCATTTTCCCCTATTTATTGTATCTTGTATTTCTGTCTACAGCCAATAACCGTCAAAAATATCTATCAGACTGGTGGACATTCAAATTCACATTATTTGTACTTTTGTTTTTCAGAGATTAACTAAGAGTGCGATGGCAAGATTGCCCTCGCCTAGTAAAAGCAGTTCACCTAAAACTAAGCAATCGTCAGAAAGATCAAAGTCCTCTTCAAGACATGGCAGAGATGTTAATTTTGCGGAATATTCGTCGATAGAGGATGTTCTACACGCTGTTACTGAACGACAAAGGATTAAGCATCGTATACTCAAATACGATGAAGAGTCACCTAATGATACAAATAGCATAACTACAAAATCTTCAAATACCCCAGAATCCTCGATGATTTCAAGTCGTGGTAGTGATATTAATTTGGCAAAATTTTCTTCAATACAGGATGCTTTGAAGGCAGTTAGTGAACGACAAAGAAGAACGAGGACTAAACATCGTGAGCTTACAAAAGAAGATGCCTCGACTCGATATGTTAACTCTGAGACTAATCCAGAAGAACAATTTCCAGAACAATCTGAACTACATCGAAGAGATTCCACAGATTCATCACCAACAAAGTCTCCACAACTGAGGATTTCTTCTGATCGAGAAGAAACAGAGTTTTCAACTGTGAACAAATGTACAGACAAGGAAAATGTTCCAAAAGCTCCACCTCCGCCACCAATAAAGTCACAAAAATTGAAATGGTCGGACTCTTCAACTGCAAGCGAGTCTAAAGAAAATGAAAATGTTCCTACAAATGAAATGATAGTTCCAAAAGCTCCACCTCCGCCACCAATTAAAACACTTCAAATAAAAAAATCGGGTACTTCAACTGCAAATAGATCCAAAGAGAAAGAAAATGTCCCTACAGCAAGCGAAATGATAGTTCCAAAAGCTCCACCTCCGCCACCAATTAAAACACTTCAAATAAAAAAATCGGGTACTTCAACTGCAAATAGATCTAAAGAAAAAGAAAATGTCCCTACAGCAAGTGAAATGATAGTTCCCAAAGCTCCACCTCCGCCACCAATTAAAACACTTAAAATAAAAAAATCCGGTACTTCAACTGTAAGCAAGTCTAAAGAAAAAGTAAATGTTATTATAGAAAATAAAACGATAGTTCCCAAAGCTCCATCTCCGCCACCAATTAAAACATTTACAATAAAAAAATCGGGTACTTCAACTGTAAATAGATCTAAAGAAAAAGAAAATGTCCCTACAGAAAGTCAAATGATAGTTGCAAAAGCTCCACCTCCGCCACAAATTAAAACACTTAAAATAAAAAAATCCGGTACTTCAACTGCAAATAGATCTAAAGAGAAAGAAAATGTCCCTACAGCTAGAGAGATAGTTCCAAAAGCTCCACCTCCGCCACCAATTAAAACACTTAAAATAAAAAAATCCGGTACTTCAACTGCAAATAGATCTAAAGAGAAAGAAAATGTCCCTACAGCTAGAGAGATAGTTCCAAAAGCTCCACCTCCGCCACAAATAAAAACACTTAAAATGAAAATTTCGGGTACTTCAACTGCAGGGAATTCTAAAGAAAAAGGAAACTTATCCAAAAGAAGTAAAGTGATTAAAATGAAAATTTCGGGTACTTCAACTGCAGGAAATTCTAAAGAAAAAGAAAATGTTTACACAGCAAGTAAAACGATAATCCCACAAGCTCAACCTCCGCCACCAATTAAATCACTAAAAATGAAAATTTCAAAAGAAAAAGAAAATGGCCCCAAACTAAGTGAAGTGATAGTTCCGATAGCTCCACCTCTTCCACTTATTAAATCACTTAAAGGAAAACGATTGGAGTCTTCACTTGCATACAGATCTGAAGCAAAAGAAAATGTTCCTACAGATAGTAAAATGATAATGCGAGAAGCTCAAAATCAGCCACCGCATAAAACACTTAAAATGAATAATTCTTGGATTTCACTTAAATATAGATCTGAAGAAAAAGAAAATGTTCACACAGCAAGAAAAATGATAGTTCGACAGGCTCCACATCCGCCACCAATTAAAACACTTAAAATACAAAAATTGGAGACTTCAACTGCAGGAAATTTTAAAAAAAAAGAACCTATAGCAAGTCCAATGAGAGTTTTACAAGTTCAAACTCCGCCACCGATTAAAACACTTAAAATAAACAAATCCGAGACTTCACTTGCATACCGATCTGCAGAAAAAGGAAATAGTTCCAAACGAAGAAAAAGTGTTACTATTGATCAACCACTAATAAAATTGGCGAAAGAATCCGTAAAAATTAAAACACCAAAAGTGAAAGCGTTAGAAAAAAAGAGGTCTCAACCTTCAACGGCAAACTTACATCATAAATCTGCTCAAGCCTCACAATCTCCATCCAAACAATCAACCGAAACAGTACCACTACCAATGATAAGAATAACAGATGATGAGGGACAGGAAAGTATTGAAGCTTCGTATAAGAAACGCAAACATAAATCACCACCAATAAAATCCCCTGGATTTTTATTTCCACCAAAACCATCATATCGGAAACGGAAAAAGAAAAAAAGAAAAAGACATCACAAGTTAAAGGAGAAGAAAAAAAAGAGTTCTGAAACTGAGAAACACAAACACGAACATAAAAAAAGAAAAAGACAACATAAGTCAAAGGAGCAGAAAAAAAAGAGTTCTGAAACAGAAAAACATAAACACGAACATAAAAAAAGAAAAAGACAACATAAGTTAAAGGAGCGGGAAAAAAAGAGATCTGAAACCGAAAAACACAAACATAAACATAAAAAAAGAAAAAGACAACATAAGTTAAAGGAGCGGGAAAAAAAGAGATCTGAAACCGAAAAACACAAACATAAACATAAACAGCAACACGAAAAAAGAAAAAGTCAACATAAGCTAAAAGAGCAGAAAAGATCGAACTCTTCAGCTTTTAACAGGTATAAAGAAAAAGAAAATGTCCACACAAGTAGAGTGATGGTTCCAAAGGCTACAAAGATTAAAGAAACAACAGTAAAAAGGGCAGGGGAAAAAAAGCCACCACTATCAACGGCAAACTTACATCGTAAAAAACACCATCATAAATCTGCTCAAGCATCACAATCACCATCCAAACAATCAACCGAAACAGTACCACTACCAATGATTAGAATAACAGATGATGAGGGACAGGAAAGTATTGAAGCTTCGTATAAGAAACGCAAACATAAATCTCCACCAATAAAATCGCCTGGATTTTTATTTCCACCGAAACCATCATATCGGAAACGCAAACGCAAACATAAGAAAAGAAAAAGACATCACAAGTTAAAGGAGCAGAAAAAAAAGAGTTCTGAAACTGAGAAACACAAACACGAACATAAAAAAAGAAAAAGACATCATAAGTCAAAGGAGCGGGAAAAAAATAGATCTGAAACCGAAAAACACAAACATAAACATAAACATCATCACGAAAAAAGAAAAAGACATCATAAGTCAAAGGAGCAGAAAGAAAAGAGTTCTGAAACTGAGAAACACAAACCCGAACATAAAAAAAGAAAAAGACATCATAAGTCAAAGGAGCGGGAAAAAAATAGATCTGAAACCGAAAAACACAAACATAAACATAAACACCATCACGAAAAAAGAAAAAGACATCATAAGTCAAAGGAGCGGGAAAAAAATAGATCTGAAACCGAAAAACACAAACATAAACATAAAAAAGAAAAAAGAAAAAGACATCATAAGTCAAAGGAGCAGAAAAAAAAGAGTTCTGAAACAGAAAAACGCAAACACGAACATAAAAAAAGAAAAAGACAACATAAGTCAAAGGAGCAGAAAAAAAAGAGATCTGAAACAGAAAAACACAAACATAAAAAAAGAAAAAGACAACATAAGCTGAAGGAGCAGGAAAAAAAGACATCTGAAACCGAATAACACAAACATAAACACCAACACAAAACAAGAAAAAGACCTGAAGTGAAAGGAGCAGAAAAGAAAAAGAGTTCTAAAACAGAAAAACACAAACACAAAGAAAGAAAATAACAAGTTAAAGGATTAGGCTGTGGATCACCCAAAAATAAAAACGAAAGATCTAGCGAATGGAAGAAACGCACTATAAAACAGAAAAGATGCATGAAACGAAAAACAGATTTCTGGCCAACTTCTAAAATTGATTTGTGCGAAATGTGAGTTATTGTCCCGTAAAAACCTCTATGAGATACAATCTAATTAAATTTTGATTACAATTTCTTGTCTTTTTTGTTTTCTGTTTTTTTCAGTCTACATTGTAATCTGAGATGTTTTCTAATATCAAAAAACAATAAAGATACGAAATAGTAACCTTATTTCAATTAGATTGTTTGAGATCGTGCCCTTTAAAAACCCATAAACTTTGGTTTTGATTGAATTAAAGGTTTTTAACATACTTTGTTTTCTTATATTGATGAAATCTACATTTCCTGTTACACATAAACAATGCTTTTGCCATAACACAAATACGCCGAAATTTCAAAGTATTATTCTACCAGTTTTGAACAAGGAGAGTGCTGATATAATAAAGAGGTATCTGCTTTATTCCAATTCCAAGTAATATATCCTTGTGGATTAATGCGTTTAATTTCCTTATTCAGCTAAACATAAAAAAAAGAAAAAGACATCACAAGTTAAAGGAGCAGAAAAAAAAGAGTTCTAAAACTGAACAACACAAACACGAACATAAAAAAAGAAAAAGACAACATAAGTTGAAGGAGCAGGAAAAAAAGAGATCTGAAACCGAAAAACATAAACATAAACACCAACACGAAAAAAGAAAAAGACATCATATGCTAAAAGAGCAAAAAAGATCGAACTCTTCAGCTTTTAACAGGTATAAAGAAAAAGAAAATGTCCACACAAGTAGAGTGATGGTTCCAAAGGCTACAAAGATTAAAGAAACAACAGTAAAAAGGGCAGGGGGAAAAAGCCACCACTATCAACGGCAAACTTACATCGTAAAAAAACACCATCATAAATCTGCTCAAGCCTCACAATCACCATCCAAACAATCAACCGAAACAGTACCACTACCAGTGATTAGAATAACATGATGAGGGACAGGAAAGTATTGAAGCTTCGTATAAGAAATGCAAACATAAATCATCACCAATAAAATCGTCTGGATTTTTATTTCCACCGAAACCATCATATCGGAAACGCAAACGCAAACATAAGAAAAGAAAAAGATATGACGTTTGAAGATATTGTTACAACTTAGTCTTTTCACAATCTAGCATCAGAAGTGTGATTACCACGAAGTTTATTCAAATTAATTTACGTCTTTACTTTCGTCGAAGTCGCATCGAGACCTTAGGGGGTGCGTATTCTCCCATGTTAGCCTATCATTGGTACAAAAAATGGCCCACCTTTAAACGGCTTACCTAAAGACCATGGTTCGCCATTTTCGGGTGTTGACTTAACTGTATATAAATAGTCTTCAAAACTTGTCCTAACCTAGGCCTTCTAGAACTGCTCGAACATCGAACAATCTCTTTAAATCTAGCCAATTATAAAATATTAATTTCCTTTTCTATTTCTATTTAGGCCTATGTCCTTTCTAGGCCGATGGAAGAGCACAAGACAAAACGAGTTGTTATTTTAACTTTCAACCGCGGATACTTCTAGACATGAAAATGAAGGCTCAAATTTCGAGGGTGAGCTGGGAACACCATCACTGATTAAATTAACGAAAGAAGATCCGTTTCTAACACTAATGAGACTGGTCAAACGGATTGCTAATCTGTCACGTTAACAATTAGTAAACTTGGAGCTTTAATCACTCCTATTACAAATTCACGTTGATCAAATAAACTAATTCGCCATTTTCGGGGGTTGATTTGGGTCTGGAATAATGTAGCCTACATAGTCTTCAGAAGTACTACAAATGCAGGAAAATCGCATAGTTCCTTCAAAAATACCCCAAACAAAGAATATCACTTTCTAATTCTATATAACATATAATTTGCCAGATTTTCAAGAAAAGATGAATCATTATTTTAATTCATACAAACGCAGATAATTGTGGACACAAATGGATTTGAAGGCGCAATCTGGACGGTGGGATGTGAACTATAACTAAAAGTTAGTTTCTGAAACAAAGGGTGCCTATACGCCAAGGCCTACAATTGTTAAAAAAATGAAAATTTTGCATTTTAGTCTTCTAGTCATTAATAAACACAACAATTTAATAGATAGCCTTAGCCTATTAACATTTTTTTATAGGGCTAATCATCTTGATTATATCTTGGCTAAAATTTTGTAAAAAAATGTTTACAAGTGTAGTCAGGGCATGCAAGTCAGTTGACGTTAGAAGAAACTGACGCTCTAACGTTTTGATGTACTGTAGTCATGGAAAAAAATGACGTCGTTAGAAAAAAATGTCGGCTCCTATTGGACCTCGCAGTCCGAAAGAGCCTAAAATTTTCTTTACGCCAACTAATTACATAGAAAACTTGAATTCAATTTGGTAAGTACTGTATTATTTGCATTATTTCTTTTTGCACAATAGTAACCTATACTTTTCTAGGCTACAGGCTATGGTGAGCTTGTCAGACCAACGACCTGCAATTTTTAAATTAAAGATAAGCGGTAGTAGGCCTAACTTCGTTAAATGAGACCTTAAAACTAAACCTAAAACTAAAACTAATATAAGCTTACATAACCCTAATAAAAACACTAAATCGCATAAAATTATTCCACATTAGACTAGATTGTTTGTTTTGATTTCCATTTTTTTACTTGCGCATGGGTAAACGGAAATGCTGGCGAAATAGTGAAAAAGAAACTAAACCGGTTCACGGTTAAATATCCACTACATGAGACGATATTATTATAATACCAAGAATGATACTTTCAATAATAAAATCAAGTAGATCCCCTTACAAAAATTGGGGCACGGTAAAACCGTACGGTAAAATTTTTGCCATATAATATTACCGTACAGTAATTTGAGACAGTTTTACTGTACGGTAAAACCATAACCGTACAGTAAAACCATAACCGTACAGTAAATCCATAACCGTAGGTCTAATAGCAGTTAACTGTGACTGTCATATCAGTTTACCGTACAGTAAAACCATGGCCTTTAATTTCGTTGTTGAATTTTTCAGAGATGCAACTTCTGATTTTCATTATCTTAACTTGTGTGAATTTTGATAGGACTTATTCTGAAAAAAATAAAAATGGCATTATAAGATCGCTGGTATGCTGAGGGTACTCGATCAGCCCTAGTTGACGTGGAATATGTAGAGTGGCCAAACGTATGATGGTTTACAATGATTACCCCCTCAAATAATCATCAACTTGTACAAAGACACTCGATCGTTGTCGATTTCTCTAGAGGGAGGGCATCGGTGTGAACGTTGTACTTTAAAAAATTAGTTCCGCTAAATATCCATCAGAATTGATTAATTGCAGTTGAATTAATCAAAGCGTTATGTACATTGTATATTTTCTTTTGATGCATGAATAGATAAATTGTGTTACGTCGGAATTCAGATTATGACATATTAGTACTTTGACAGTCCCTGAAAAGTTATTTTTTGTTTCGTTTATATAAAAATTATCAATTGAAAACAAGCAGACATTTATAAAATGTGTCCGTTTCAAAGCTTGTTTTGACTTGATCCTGTCTCGAATCTCCAGTTAGGGACATCTGACACATCTGCTCCCTGGTGTATTTGGATGACAAAACGTCAAAGCTCTAGCCAACAATTTCCTATCTATATCGATACCACGCTGAAATGTAATATAGAATATTATGAAATTATTTAACTTATTTGCAACGGAATCGAAAAATAAAATATCGTTCCTCTCTCATGGTGAACCTGAGTGTTATGTCTAAGACATGTTCAGAGAGTTTTATAAGCATGATGAAAATTTCAAATGTAATGTCAGATCTTTAACAAATTCTATCAATTATTTCACTGAGATCACTGAATGCTAGTTTCTCATCTGGGTTCATACGTTGAAATAAAAGGTTCTTTTTGGTACTTATAGAGGTAACGAGAGAGGTTTTTATGGACTTGAGAACCAAGATAATTGATAATTAATTGCAAACGAGAAATTAGTAATTATCAAAACCAGATGTGACGTCTAGACGGATTCATGTCTCTTTAGTAATCAATACTCTCAATAGGGTAATCGCTAGTCTCAAATCTCATCCATCGTATTTTTTTTGCATGAAAATCTCACAGAAAAAAGGGGTAATAACCCAATACATTATGCTATTGTCTGAATTTATCTGAACCAATCGTCAATAACGAACATTTTTCGCGTGAAAATATCGGATCATCACAAAATTCAGAATAGGGATCTTCCTTATAATAATATTAGCACACAAATCAAAATCAAAAGAATCCATAAAGAACTCTAGAGTGGGCACGAGCTGCACTATATTGCTATTAGTATGAATATATTATAGTCAGCGAGATATTTTGGCGAAAAATTCGAATCATCACAAAATACTGGCACACACTAAAAAAAATCGAAAGAATCCATAAAGAACTCTAGCCTGTAGAGTGAGCACGAGCAAATGACGAGAACGACCGGATCAAAATGGTAGGGTCCAGCGCGTTCACAAGAATTTCTGATCATATCGAAGAAAGGGAAATAACTCCGGAAGTCATCATCGATTTGGCTCCAAGTTGAACTCATCCCAGATCTTATGGAAATGATGTCACATACTAAGTTTAATTTCGATCCAATGAAATTTGTAGGGTCGAGCCCGTTCACAAGCATTTCTGATAATTCCAGAGCAGGGGCTCAGAAACTAATCTTCGATTTGGCTCCAAAGTCGAACTCATCCGAAATGTTGTAGATATGATCAGATGAAAATTGTAGGGTCGAGTGCGTTCACAAGCATTTCTGATAATTTGACTCACCACTTTTGAAAAAAACTGGGCTGGTTACAGAAAAAGACCGTTACATACCCGACCGTTTTCATAAGCGTAGCCCCGACAGATTAATCTTGGCATGGCCTAAATATTAACACCCTCATACTACAATTTATTCATCATCTTTAGATATTTTGCTTCTGACATTAGGGTTGACGCATATGAAAAAGTACGAATTTGTGACCATCCCATATTCGCGAATCGTACACAGTTTCGCATTTTTGTGACGTACACAAAACTCACGTTAGTGCAGTATGTGTGACCACGGCCAGTGACCACGTATACCAGTGTGCTTTAACATTGTTAAGCTTGTACAAAACTAACGTACAACAGCTAGTGTATTCGACAGATGTTTCATACGCTGGGTATACGCTTGCCTTAATCGTCTTAGTAGGGCCTATGACAGGGCCAATGTAAAACCCATTTCTTGAAAAAATACGGAATTATGGGATATCGAAACCTAAAGTAGAACAATATGAGACGTTGTCTTGATTCCTTGACCGCCCCGCCATCCCGCCAGGTCATTTGAGACTTGATATTCGTATCTGTGATTGTCCGAATTTCTAACCTTGCTATGGCAGTAGTATGATGAAACGAAACAATAAATAAATCTTGTTCTTTTTCAACACAAATGTTTAGCAATTCCACTGTGAACGTGAATTCAAGTAAGCGCGCCATGTTATTTTTTTTTTAATTTTTACTTATGAGTAGCTAAAGGTAATGTCGGCGACTGCATTTTCAACTGTTAAATCGTAAATAGGCCTATATATCTGTATACTGAAGGACCTAAATTTAAATTTCTAAATTTTCTGTCTCTACGCTAGTCTAAAATTGTCAGAAAAAGCTCTAGTGGCATAGGTTAGCGATAGTATATTTCGGAGTATTCTGACGTGGTAAGAGTAATCGTTCCTTAACTTGACTTCCAGATGACCGAGGCGGTCCACCTTTGGTGGGGGATTCAAGACAACGATTATGAGAGCCTTTTTAGGTTTCGCTATCTCATAATGCCTTATTTTATCAAGAAATGGATTTTACATGACACATTCTGATTGGTTACAAAAAACCTCATATGGACTGACCTTTGGTATAAAACTAGCCTACATGTATTTAGATGAGAATGTAGAAGATCAGAAAAAGAAAGAGATGATGTACGAAATTTAAAAACTAATTTTAATAAGCTTGACTATGATTGCACCACCGTTCAAATTTCAAAATGAGGTTAGCAAATTGACAACTTTCGTCAATTTATTTCCTCTGCTCTAAACCTGTGCTGTTTCTGATTACTATATGATAACCAAACATATATGTTAGCTGCTATCGAAATATATCCTTGAAAAGGATCTTAAAATAACTATATTATCAGCAGTGATGAATGGGGGCTAAATAAATAAATGAGACCCCTTTGTAAATCAATGTAATTCCTGTTAATGAAAGATTTTAGTCTGTATGTAATGATATTTCACTCACTTATATATTTTTCTGGGGGTTGGAGCCTGTGGACTTTGTTCAATCAGTCCCTATGGTAGTTGGGCCACTGATTAGCAGTGCTTTTTAATGACCTTTTAGTGTTTTGATCCGATTTGACACACCATGGTTTAATTCTCACTCTTTCAAAACCTGTTAGACCAATCGATTTTGACAAATTTTTCGACGTCAAAAAGGTCTTCCACGAGGCCTGTTCGACCACTCCATCCGATACCTGATATCAATGATCATTTAAAATCAAGAAAGAGTATCATTATACTTAAGTTTGTTATTCATTCGTTCTGCACTATCATCAATTTTTACCATGATTGAAAAGTAATATTTTTCGCCATTTTTATTTTTGTAGAGAAGCAAGAAATTGTTGAAAGGTTTTAGATGTAATTATGGATACCAGTGAATCTGATGAAAACAAACATTTTCAATCGTTAGATATTCCTAAAGAATCTGACAATATCCAATCTAACTCACCTGCGAATTCAACAAAGAATGAATGCAGTCCGGCGCATGCAGAATCAACCATTCCGTTTGTGTATTCAAACCAGCCATTAACTATAGATCAACATTATCAAGGCGAATCGATTTCTAGAAATTTGTCTATACCAGTGGCAAGGTTGACAAACGCATTCCAAAGAAGATTGTTAAAACATGGACAACAGCAACCAATTACAAAAAAATTAAACAAATGCTCTCATAAAAAGAAACCGCACGAATCCTTTTCAGAGGTAAGCATATATAAGAATTTCTATATTTAGAGCGATTTAGAGATTTAGATACTTTCAAACCCAGCAGTGTTGTTCAATCCAGGCTCGCGTCTGAATTATTGCTTAGTTTTATGGATTTATTGGATTATAGAGGGTGTCCACTGATAAGGGAGGAGGTGGGTGGTGCAGGCTGGTTTGCCCGAAATTTTCCCATGAATTTTATCTGTATTTTTCTTTGCTTTCGGATTCTTGCTGCCCGAAAAGATAAAATTTGGGGGAAGAGCTGCTTGTATATGTTTACAAAATAGGATGGGGAACAAAATTTTGCCTATAGTACCCTCTCCTGTATAATTATGAATCTCTCCAAAAAAAAAAAAATTAACTCTCGTCATATAAACCAATCTTGTATTAGGAAATCCTATAGCTCATTCAGCTTCGACCGATTTGGAAAAATGTTGACAAATGCACCAGTTATTTGGTGGATTTTCATCATACAAATGTTACTAACGTATCGATCAAACTACCCTGATCCTTTTTATACGCCCACATGAAATGCTCGTAAACAAATAATTAAAAAAAATTTTTGAGCAGTGCAGTAACAATCAGCAGTATGAAAACTTCAAACTTCAGTCATACACTTCTTTTGAACTTTTTGGGGTGATACTGAACAATATTAACAAGTTCTGGCAGCTTTGATTTTGAATAAAGATATTTAGCAGTACAGTAACAATCAGCAGTATGAAAACTTCAAACTTCAGTCATACACTTCTTTTGAACTTTTTGGGGTGATACTGAACAATATTAATAAGTTCTGGCAGCTTTGATTTTGAATAAAGATATTTAGCAGTACAGTAACAATTAGCAGTATGAAAACTTCAAACTTCAGTCATATACTTCTTTTGAACTTTTTGGGGTGATACTGAACAATATTACCATGTTTTATCAAAATCCGGCAAGAATCGAGCCTTTAAAAAATTGAATGCGTATTCAAAATTGAGGCCAATAACTCATATAATATAGTTCTCAGGTTTTGTATTTACATCCATGGGTGATTTCACCAAAATTAGAAACTTATTTCACCAAATTTCGTAAAAAGTTGTCGAGAATTGTGCCTTCTTGAGTGTTTACTAGCTAAAAATTGAACATATTTTCAAAAACAAGGGCGAACTCAATGTTTTTCAATTTTTTTGATTTTGAAAAATTTTACTCGCTTTCTCGCGCTTTTCCTCGCCTTTTATATCGCTTTTACCCCGCTTTCTCGCCTTTTCCTCGCCTTTTTTTAATCTCGCTTTCTTGCCTTCTCTTTGGGAGCCGCGGTGGCTCAGTGAGTTAGACGCTCGCTCACAAACCTAAAGGTCCAGGGTTCAAGCCCGGCATAGGTCGAGATAATACCTTCGGATTTTTCAACCCAGTTTCCCCCTGTGATGAAGGTACGGGGGGCTGACAAGGAAAAAGCGTCTAGTCGTTCGGATGGGACAATAAACCGAGGCCCCGTGTGCTACAGGCTGTGCACGTTAAAGATCCCTCGACAGTTGGAAATCGAAAAAGAGCAGGCTAATGCCACTGTCCTGGCAAAATTTCGCCCCCCCCCCCCTCAATCACAATCACATCACTTTTCAATTTCCTCATTTTAGAGATTGTTCCAGAGTGCAAAGTCGAGTTTACCTACATTAAATTCTTTGGATTATAACAGAACATCGAAGAAAACGAGACTCGAACCTAAACAATTTTCAGATACTTCAAAGTCCCCTTTGATTTTGAGTTACGGCAGTAGTATTTATGTGGCAAAATATTCGTCGATACAAGAAGCTCTACAAGCAGTTACTAAACGACATACAGGGAAAAGGACTAAACATTGTGGAAACAAAAAAAATCGAGGGCCACTGAAAATGTATGATCTCACCGTAGTTGAAAAAAACCCAGTTAACTCAGTGGCCGAATCTGAATCAAGGGTTATGAGTAGTTTAAACGGACTAGATATGGAAAGAAAGTGTTGTCCAGATAACGATCAAGTTAAATGGAAATCAGAAGCAAAGGGTACATCATCATCTTTACTTCATGAAATGAAAACGTCTGAACAACTCGGACAAAGAATTAAAAATAGTAGAATCCAATCAAAAAACCCAGTTTATCAAATGATAGATGAATCTCGAGAAATATCCTCATCTGTTGTACAGAAAACAGTAGAACCACAGTCAAATATTTCGTCATCATCACCCTATTCACTGAAACTAGTAATAAGCACACGTCGTCAAATCGATACTAGGCAAATAAACAAAGGATTCGGACAAGAGAAGCAGACAGATCAAATGGTCAAAACAAAACCACAAGAGATACGTGCTTCTTTTCCGTTACCATATTCAAGAGAATGTACGAATTCGCCTGGTCAACTCGATAGAAGACCTAGGACGAGAAGAATTCACGTAAAAAAATCGATCGATCAGATAACAGATGGACTAGAAGAGTCCGATATACTGTCACCTTTATCACATTCACCGAAAACGACAATTAACTCTCCACTGTTAGTGTATAGAGGACTTAATATTAAAGATAAAAAGCCCACTGGTCAGTCAGCAAATATATCGGGAGAGACAGATGTACCATTACTATTTCCATATTCCCTAAAATCCGGAATGAAAAGTTTTCATCAACTCGATGGAAGACAAAAAAGAAGAAAAATCAAACAAGGCAAATCATTTGATAAAATAAGAGATGAATTTGAAGAGATAGATGAAACTCAGAGTGCATACCTTTATCCGTATTCTCCTTCAGAGGACGAAAGTATGGACGATTTTGATGATGAAGAATCAAGCTCGCAGGAAGATGAGGATCAATGTGAGGAGTCAAGTTCACAGGATGATGAGGATCAAAGTGAGGAATCAAGTTCACATGGTGATAAGGTTCAAAGTGAGGAATCAAGTTCACAGGAAGTATCAAGTTCGCAGGAAGATGAGGATCAAAGTGAGTCTGGTGTGCTTAAAGCCGTAAGTCTCGCAGAAAAGGAAAGTGATAGTTCTTATAATTTTCCCATTTTGCTTTCTCAAAGTGCTACTCCCATAGAGAAAAAAAGCACCACATACATAGAAAGTTCTCAAAGTACTCAAATATCAAGACGTACTGACAACAAAAGTCCCAAAGAAAGTATTCAACACCATCAAAATCTATATCCAAGATCTCATTCAATGACTTCAAACCCTCTGCCATTTCTACCACATTCAACGAGTTCGCCGAGTTTACAAGAAGAAGCACAACCCCAGGGTCTTGTTAGTCATCCAAATCAACACACCTATACAAGTCAACCGAATTTATCAGGTCATCTCCGTTCTCAAGGGGAAATCAGTCATCAACGTTTAAAAATTTCAAAACTTGAGAAACGTTCAACAAGTCGTGATAATCACCACAGTTATGCTAGTTCCACAGAAAAGAAAAGTCCACTAAGTGCAAAGATTTCACCAAAAGAAAGTAGCAACAATGAGCAAAATGTCACAGAAGACTACAATCTTCCTAATCCACCAAGCCCACCTTCTTTAATAGAGGAAAATGGGTGTCCCAGTCTAAAACGTCGACAAGAAAAGGGACGCCCCAAACGTCGCGCAAGCCCCCAAAGTCTTCCGGAGTATCTCAGCCTACTAACTTCAAGACGTCTACAAAAAGAGGAACAGATCAAGAGCATTTCACTTTTACCTGAAAATTTATGTCCACCAAGATATCCACAAAAAGAGGAAAATCATACAAGTCTCCCAATTCCTCCAGAAGATTACAACTCAAAAAGTCTACCAAGTCCTCCAAGTCAAAGACGAGAAAAAGAGGACTGCTTT